CACGAGTTAAAATTGTTTTCTGAATAGTATTATTATTTAACCGGCCTATTTGACATGGAATGGATGTCATTGCGTATATAATATTATCTCATGATGTTTTGCACTGTGACTTTCATGGAAGCTATAAATGATTTACAGTACACACTTTACTATTCAAAATCTATCTGGTGAAAAGAAATGATTCATTCGAATAAACTACCACCGATTATGGCTTCCAGTTGACTAGAGGTAAGATTATTTAACTCCTCTACCTGATTCCCTTCTTTTCTCAGACTCAGAGACAATCGATGCAATGTTTTTCTTTTCATACTTTTCGAACCGTAATCACACGGTATAAAGTCGATAGGTTGCATGATCTCTTCGTCATCCTCCTTTTGAGACTCTTCACTTTCTTCGCTGCTGGGATGAACCTACGAGTCACATCACCGTTTAGGAATATTGTTCCATAAAAATACATGTGATACATGAATATAAACGGGGAAGCAACAAAAATTATTGTGCGACTTCAAAGACAAACTTTGTCTCACAGCCAAAGTTGCGTGCATTATAGTGCAAGAAACTACGCGAATCCCCAAAATATAAATGTATGTACAACGGCTCAATTGAAATATTTATAAGTGTTACAAAATGGTTTACTCACCAATACATTTGTAAAATTGCACGAATAAATAAACGATAAATAAATAATTTGTTAACTGCAAATTAGGAGGTTTTTCTTACGACAAATTACATTATGATTTAAAAGAAATCCAAATAGATAATAGCAAATTTGTACACTCACTTGAACGTATAAACTTAAACAGAACATGTTTGTTTGTTTGCTACTACTTCTCACTACTGCCAATGTCAGGGAGAGGATGCTGGGAACAATGAAAAATAATTAAAAAAAAAAAGAATAAAAAAAGGTTAATTATCATTAATCTCTCTTTTTTTTCTTTCGGAAATATTCACTAACAAAAAATAGTACATCTACAGTTATATTATCTGTATAGAGCTGCGCCACATGTTTTCTGCAGTCCAGTGTTATAACTTGTTAATCGACATTTATACAGATGAACGCGGTACAGCGTTTAATCGTATTTGGGTCTGTTTAAAATGTAGAACAGAATAAAGTCCGTTACATTAGTGAACATAGTTTACAAATTTCTTTTCATAAATATAAAATGTCAGTTTCTAATTGAAATTCTGTAGAGTGCGTTAACAAAAGAAACGCACGTTGCAGTTCTTGAAGCTAAATATTGGGAAACGAATAGAAACGCTTCTCTATGGTGTAAATATTCGAAAATGCGTTTATTTTTTTTTACGCAGATTCAATATCGCAAACGAAAAAAAGCCGCCAAACATTCTACTATTCTCCAATAGATAATATTCTAAGTAAAATCTGGTCATGCTCTACCACCACCAACGCAGTTTATCGCTAACGTGCTTTACGTCAAATGTACATGATATAAAGGAACAAAAAAAATGATTTTAGATGGAAAAGCTAGGGATGGGCATCCAAATAGTTGCATTGCACTGCATTGCTTGTTTTTCCTTATAACTTGCCACGACGATACTCTTATTACAGAGTTTCATCTCACCTCTACTATGGAAACTCTTGGCGATGGCTCCCGCGGCACAGCTTTCTCCAATGTCACGAGTGGACTACTGGAGCCTGTAGAAGAATATTCTCTGTCCGTTTCGGTGTCATTATCCGAATAATCTTTCTCGTCCTCTAACGATGATTTCTGCATTTCCATGTTTTCATGTAGCTTGCAAACGAAACCACTCTTTTCGTCACAGTCGGACAAATTTCCTTCTAAATGCACTATTAACATTCAAACAACATTAATGGTTGATAGTACAATGTATATGCGATTGCAAATATTATTACCTTGACAAAAGGCAGCACTGCAGAAGGAGCAATGCGCGGACGTTCTACGTCCACATTCTGCACAATGATGCCAAGGACAACTAAATCTGGAATCCACGTCGTCGATGTCCACACAAGTTTGGTGATATTTCTTGCCACATGTTTTCTGGTCACAGACCACGAAATCTTCTAACTTCTCAATTTCTTGTCCACAGCTCCAACATGCCAAGTGTTTTCTCGTCCTATTCGGACAATTGTTCAATGATTAGATACCACGATCGTTGTGGATACACATCTATCAATTTACCTCTTCTGACGTTTCATTTTATCCACTTTCTCAAATTTCTTTTGTTGCATCGACAGCGTTGTTGCTTGCGATTTTTGTACTTTCAAACCTATAAATCCACTACAATTCGATGCACCGCACAAACAGGGCTTTCGAGTTTCTCCATCGCACGCTAAATTATAATTAAAAGTTAATTCTTCACCGTGTTCTATATCGCATAACGCAAACAGACCTATACGGGTATCTCCATTCACCGTCCACTTCTGAGTCTCGCAATTTGGCGAACATGAATGATCTGCAATTTCAAAAACGACAATAATAAAAAAACATGAGTTCATTCTTTTTATTTCAGGCATTCGAGAAAGACAGAGGGTACTCACTCATAAATCGACTTAAATTCCCTTTTGGCTCAGCATCTATCATTCTATTATTATCTATGGTTAAAAAATAAAAATTCTCGTTCTTTAATTCCTTTTTTCTATGTAGTCTTCGTTTGTACTCAGCTTCGTCTATAACTTCACCTACGTACTCAATGACAAATTGTCCCGCTTTAATGTGTTCTAAACTTCTAAGACCCCATCCCCGGGCAGCAGTATGAAACGGTTCCATAGCGGGATATTGTCTTCTAGCAAATGCCTGATTGTTACATTTTGGACCAGCCGGACATATGCCAGGACTACATTCAACTAATAATATTCGATTTAAACAATCTGTTCCAGGTGCACACGGATTTTCCCACTCCGCGTCACAATCGCAAGCGACGATGCTTTCGACTTCTGTCGGTTTTACATTGCCAACTGGTTTATTTACCTGTAAATGTTATATTTTATTACAGATTAAAATTTATGGTATGGTATGAAATAATTGTAAGTTGTATGTAAGGCTATATTGAAAAGAAAACAAGGCTTTACTTTTAATTTAACGTAATGCGGAGGTTTTAATCCTCGGGGGCCATGGTCTTTAGCAGCAGCTCTTTCAATTTTCAAACGCTGGTGGATATCATTAGCTTCCTCTAATGCTTTCCGGTATGTATCGTCTCTATTATTCTTTTTTCCGATTGGTGGTTTTATGTTTGCGTCGCCATCTTGATAAAGAAAAGCTCGCCCCCTAGAAAAAGTAACAGCAAAATAATAAACGATATAATAAATTAATCATTATATTTTATAAGTACCTCGGTTTTTTGATTTTCGAAAATTGCAAAATGCTTACCTATGTACCCAATAATAATTATTTGATCCTAAGAACATCACACAAAATTTACCAGGGCTGTGGGGTATAGCTTCTATATTTTCAGGAATTTCATGTGGATAACAAATGCGGGATGGCCACCAGCGATAATTACCGAGTTTAACCCAAACAACTTCCCCATATAAAGGCAGTCTGCCTGTCTCACAATCTTCACAGATAAATGCACCATCCGGTGCATCTATTCCTAAAGTTATCATTGCTTATAATACATATTACACGTTGATATACATTCATGTATTTACAATATTACTACCGTAAGTATACGCTACTTTTTTACTGCTACCATGTTCCCATTACTTTAAGATACTACGCTACTGTTACAACTATAATAACCATTATCGTTACAATTATGATTACGTTTGCTATGTGAAAAAATCAATTACCTAGACACTCAAGATGAAACGAAGTTGGACACGTATCGCAACAGATAAGACTTCCACCCCTTGTACATAAAAAGCACCATGCTGCATTTACTGGTGGATGGGGTGCTTGATAATGTTTTGGACACACTATTTGGCTGCCGGTTAAAATGATTGAACCAGCAGGTAAACAAGATGTAGATGTATGATAAGATGAAGGACACCGCACACATCGTGCTAATTTCTCGTTTGGAGTTCTTGAATGACTATCTTGAGGATTATCCGAACTGCACGTGTGGCACACATGATACGGACAAGTTAATCGGCCTCCTTGCCAATGAGACTAACAAAAAATAAAAATGTTCATAATAGGATGTACATTTTGTAAAAACAAACTGGAAAAAGAATGTCAAAATTTTGTTATTACCTGTGGCCATGATTTTAAACAAGACGAGTGATAATGCTTTCCACAGGCTATAACAGTGCACCTTATTCTGTCACCTTCTCTTTCGTTACATATAAAACAAGCAGGTGCTACACCCGACAAACAATCTATGCATTTAAATAGTTCATCTTCTTGCTCATCATTTTTACCTAAAATAACAAAAATACTCAGTGTATTAAATGTAACTGAAATATTCTTAATACGCATGGTAAATGTCATATTAATTTCAGTACCGCCATTTTCATCCTCGTCTACATTGCTCCGTCTAATTTCTTTTATATCGTCGAGGATTTTATCGTCCATTGTACTTTCATCGATGGAATGCTCTGGACTGGATTCGCCAGGTTTTACACAAGATAAATGGAAATATGAATAACAAGGTCCTTTACATCTGGTCAATTTTCCAGTTTTTTCACATATCTGACAAACCTTTTCTTGTTTCATTCCTTTAAAGATATTGTATGGCCTACTCTTTTTAGTTTCTGAAACAATCATCTCCTCTTTCTCAACTTTGATTCTAGACTTTCTAGTGTCCTTTGTATTCAATTCCATGTCTATCGACAAATCTTCTTGATCAGACAAATTGTCTTTAACTTGGGCATTAGAACTCTCTGATGTTACATACGACCGATACTTTTTACGGAAAGAAGCATTCATTGAATTCCAAGTTTTCTTCAAGTATCTTTTTATATCTTGTTCCGATGCATCTGGATATTCATCTTCCAACATATCTCTATTTCGTTCATAGTAAACTTCGAATACACCATCCACATCCTCTTCGGGCTTAAATTCCACTTTCTGTGCAATGGAAACTTCGTCATTGGAATCTCGTTGACTCAAAGGAGACATTGGGGGTGTATCAGAATTAAGTCTCGAATTACTTTTACCATTCTCTGCGAACTTCTGTGCTTTAGATGTCATTCCATCTGTTTTGTATTGTGCCTTTTCTAATTCGTATGCCTGCAATGTGATTACATTCAGTGTTAACAACAATAATTTAAAAAAAGGAAGTTTTATTCTGCCACAATCCCATTCATATGCTTACAGTTTCCTGCTTAACGCGTTTAACGTCGAGTTCACTGGAGTCATGTGAATACTTTCTTTTGTTAGTTTTATCTTTCTCATCCGATGCACTTGATTTCGGCGACCTACTTTTTGTATTGTTCTCCTTTGGTTTAAAAATATTAGCCCTGTTTTCATTGCTCATTGGTTGAACTTCCATAGCTTCTTCTATTGCGCTTTCCCATTTAGATTTAATTCCAGGTTTTACAATAAATGCAGCAGCATACCTTGCATCCCTCTTCTTAACTTCTGCAGTTATTGATTCCGACAGTTTTTTAAAATCAGCAAAATTAGTGAATGGTATCATCGAATTTGAGGAAACCCAACTGTGGCGCCCTTTATCACCAAAATATCGAACATGAATCATCAAAATCTGGGATTTGGCAGTAGCTAGTCGAACAGATTATTACGATTTATTACAATTGAATTATATCGCTTATGTTACACTTAGTAATTATATATTATAACATTATATAAATAAATAAAATAGAAAACATGGAAATGCAAAGAAATATACCTAAGAGGATATCTTTAAGTTTAATACAAACCTACCTTTCAGTCTATGATAAGTCATTAAAATTGGATCTAATGTTATCACACAAGGCCAAAACGGAAAATTACCAACACGAGCCCATGCTAATTGACCTAATATCCAATTGCACTGTATCGGTGTACCAATTATTTTTGGAGCAGCTTCATCCATGGTACTTAAACTAATGGACGAATCACTTGTGTCGTCCATATCATTAGTTGCATTATTTTCGTCCATGCTTTCATTACTGCTATCAGACATATTCTGATATTTTCGAGCCTTCGACATCTTAGAACTCTATAACACATATATACATATAAAATATACATTATATGGATAAAATTGTATGTAAAAAACATAAAATATTACTATATTTGATATCATATTTTATTAAAATAATATTTTATTGTATAATATTATAATCTGTCAAGTTATAATTGATTTTAGAAAAATATAACATGCCTTTGGAGAATCAGCAACCTCATTTTTGGGGGATTTAGGCTTTATTGTTCTACCATAACGACTTCTACCTGATGAAATCGTACTAGATTCGATATTAAAGTCCTTTTTATCATCTTCGCAATTGCTTTTCGTCACGTCCAAATTACTGCCGCAGTCGCCAAATCTTGATTCAGTAATTACGTCCACCTTACTATTCACTCTGTTGATAGAGTTCATAGCTTCCTGACTAATTCAACATTTTCGCTACTCAGGATGGACAATGGATTCGATATTAAAAATCCTTAAACACTTATTCAACAGTGAGAAAGATATAAACTTAAGAACTTGTATATAAAGAGCTCACTCATTGAAAACAATTTCCATTATCGCTGAAAATAGCTGCGATGGCTGATTTTCAAGGGTTACTTTATATCATAGAAAAACGACACGCATCATTGTCTGTTATGCGGTAGTGGTATTCTATTCTGTCTGAGCTTCTCATGTAAACATAGTTTTTGTCACATTAATCATTTAATCGTATTAATATTAAAAAACTGTAAATGTAACTGAACCTCACGGATCTGTGAACAGGAACGAGACGCGTTTCCCGCGATTTTGGGTAATTCTCATAACCACGCTGCATTTAATTTTTCACTATGATAGCAATGTTTGGTGATTTTTGTTTTATCAATTATATTACATTATTGTAATTTTGCACTACAGATTTGTCAATATAAATTTGATTTTACTGCTAAAATTTGTTGTCATTATTTTCGGTTTAATTTTGCACTACAGATTTGCCAATATAAATGCGATTTAACTACTAAAATTTGTTGTCATTATTTTCGGTTTATAAACAGTTTGAAATATAAACTTTTCAAGCAAAATTATGAGTACATTACATATGATGCATATTATCACCTGCATATATCATCGTATTATTATTTATAAAACTATTCACAGTTTATTAAACAGTTTCTGTAATATTTATTTAGGTACACATATTTTGACAGATATTTATATGACTTTCATGTACATTATGGCTTATATTTAAGAAGAAAATATCTTTAAAAAAAAAGATGAATTTCTTTAAAAAATATTATATTACAGAA